ACTTCCAATTCTAGGCGAGTTCGTTATATTCATTATTTAAAAGATTATCTGGCTTTAAATAACCTGCAAAGGGTTGATAAACCGTAAAAAATACCAATCTCCCTCTGCTTGATTAATATACATCAATTTCATTTATACAGAATCCAACTTGTATTGCAGAAGATTTTAATCTTCTTTCTATACAACAATGCAACAATTACCACAAATTATTAAAGTGGGTAGATGCTGTAGCCACCCTTCGCAAACGTATTTGTTTTGGGATGAATTTCTTGTATTGGTTTCAATTTCTGCAATTCCATAGGAAGTGCAGCAGACATGTGCAGTAAGAGAATGAGAGAAAGTGGAAAAAATAGGTTCCATTCTACATTCTCGGAAAATTACCAAATACGAGAGACATCTGAAGAAGACATTACACTAAAATTGGCCAACCATTGCGGTAAAAATAACAAAATCCTGTTAACTGGTTCAAATGAATTATTGTATAATACTAAGAATACCACATTTCGGAAATTTAGACAAAGGGTAAGTCAAATGTTAAATCGGTCGAAACGTTGCAATAAAAAAAAAAACAACCGTAAACACGTAAAATCGTTTGAAGGAATCTATGTACAATCATAACAAAATCCGGTTTCAGAAATTGCAATGTCAACAGCACGCACCACTAAAAAGTTAAGAAAAGGTCACCTTTTCGGTGGATACTGGCAGATTCGAGTATAAATTCAATCTATGACTATTTTTTTTTACTATCGTTTAAAACCGAACAATGTCTAGTTTTCTTAATTTCGTGTAACGCAACCTATGTGTACCTTTTTGACTTTTATGTCTATCTCCCGTGTAAATCGTACCTATGTCTACCTTTTTGACACTCGTGTAAACAGGGTTCTCATGTAAACCGGACATCTGTTTACCATTCGACTCACGTGTAAATCTGACCTATGTGTACCTTTTGGCTCACATGTAAATAGGCCTATAGCTACCTTTCTCATCTAAAACGGACTCTCATGTAAACCGCACTTATGTCTACCTTTTGACTCACAAGTAATTCTGAACTATGGCTACCTTTCTTACTCAAGAGCAAATTGGACTTTTATCTACCGTTTTTTCCCCCATTGTAAACTGGACCAATATCCAGCATTTTATCCCCAGTGTCCCCCCAATTTCATTTATGTCTACCTGTCTACGAATTTATAGCGAATTATTCGCGATGCGACATATATAATTGACTTTAAATAATCTCTCAATGATTGATATATCGTTGAATTAAACAATTCCATGCCAACTCAACCCAAAACATCTCCGAAATAATGAGAGAATGGAATTTGGACAGACATTTAGACGCTCGGTTTGAAACCGTTGTCAATAATTGTTACACAAAACTTTTGCATCAAATGTTAGAAATCGGTCGTCGAATTAGCTATGAGTAAAATAAGAGATACGCGGGTTCTTATGGGCGGTTTTATGCTGTAAAAACTACTATTACTGCCTCTACTATTGCTGCAGATGTCGTAATGACTTTACTGTCTCCGTGTGCTTTGAAAAGGTATTTGCTATAACAAGTGCATCGCTCTAAGCGCCAATACTTGCTAATAATACTGCACCAATGTTGTTGCATTGATGCCAAAATCTGTTTTTTTTTTCTTCTCTATACTTGTCTTGTTCTTTTGGTGGTGGCGTGAAAGTGAATATATATATATATATTTTTTTATCTATCTGCATTCTTTATTTTTGTTCTTTCCTATATTCTTTTCACTTCAGGTTTTCTTTCTTTCATTCGTGATCATTTCTTTTCATCTTCCTTTCTTTCTTTTGTGATCTATTTTTTCTTACTGTTTCTTTTCTGACATTTTTTGTTTTTTTCTTTTTCTTTCCTTTGTCTTTTCTCTTTCATGTTACTTTCTTTCTTATTTGTTTTGACCTTCTAATTATTTTCTTCTTTCTTTTTCTATTCTTAATTCTTCCTCTCATTCTTTTTCATTGATTTATTTACTTTTCTCTTTCCTTTTTATTCTTTCTCCTTTACGTTGTACTTTTTTCTTTCTTTCTTTTTCCTTCCTTTTTTTCTTTCTTTTATCTTTTCAAATAGTAAGTTACTCTTTATAAATAATGATTTTCGTTTTTGATTTTATCCTTATTTTTACTTTCCTCTTTTATATTTATTCGTTTCTTTTTCCCTAATTTTCTTTTTCTTCTTTCTTTTTGTCTATCCATCTATCTTGTTCTCTTCATTTCCTACTTTCTATCTCATTCTATTCCTATCTATCTATCTCTCTATATATCCATCTATCTCTTCATACCTATCCATTCATTGATCCGTTTGTTCATATATTTATCTGGCCTATTCATCCATTCCTAGTCATTTGTCTGTCTGTTCATATCTATCTACTTGTACGACTTTCTCTTCGTATCTATTTTTTAACTACGTATTTTTTGAGAGAATAGAATTTTAATATTATAGATATCCTATTCATTAATTTTCTTTTATACCGAGATACTGAGGATGTAAAACTGTGCAAATTCTTTCGCGATTAAATTGCCTTTGATCTGAAGATTTTAACAAAAATCTGTAAAACAAATCAATTTATTATCCATATTAAAAAAAGTCTACTAGTCGCCATCATGATATCTTGTTTTAAACGAACGTGAGAAACTTCACAATATACGGTGTTCACCTTCGACATTTCGTCATTGTCGAGAATATTACTGGATTTGGGCAAATATACAATAGTATATTTCCAAACCTCTCCATTATTATAAACATTCGTGTGGAACGAGGCCATGTTTCACCCTTGAACATTTTATATGGGCAAGTCCAATAGAACATTTTTAAATCTCTCCTTTATAATGATCTATATTACCTAAACCCATAATCTCCATTTCCTGCATTCCATTTTTACATTCGTATCATACATCTCGTTCCATAACCGTCTACTTTCAGTGGCTCCTGATCCTTGTATTGGTGCTTTTCTTAAATGGGGTAAATTGAACTTGGCTTCATTGTGAAAATCTTTCTTGATTGAGCGCTCTAAATGCACACCAGGTTTAACAATGGTTTTTCCCCTACAAGGAGAAGCAAGCTTAAAACTTGTTCGTAAACACATTTCTTTATTCACCACTTAGCACATGAAGACGACGTTGTGCATGAAACTCCAAGTCGTGCTACTGGTGATTATATATATATATATATATATATATATATATATATATATATATATATATATATAAATTATTATTGCATAGAGTGGATTTTTTGAGGTGAGGAATTATTTTTAAAGAATTATATTAGAGGTTTTGAATTTTTTTGTAATATTCTATAAATCTAAGAATTTATTGGGATCGATAATTGTTGTATACTAGCAACTAGTCTTGTTTATAATTACAATGCATCTGGTTTGCAATAAAACAATTTAAAAGAGTCTTTATTTTTGTTTATATCACTTTAGTTGCTAATATTTTTTTTTAATTTCTTTAAATCTAAATCTTATTTCTTCATCAACAAACATGGTTTGTGAAATCATTATTGACTAGCAGTATAACCCGCCTTTGCCCGGGTCTTTCATTACTGGGAATTTTTGCCGTTCAATTGGAGCAGTTTAAGTTTAAAGTCAGTCCACCCGCAATCAATATTAGTAGCAACATTTGGATGAGGCCCATTACCAAATAGGGGGTTAACAATTTAAATGGCGGGGCATGAAAAGGGAACTGTATAAAAATAAATAATATTATTGTAATAATTTAAACTATTTTTTTAAAGTTTTTATAAAAGATATATATACAAGAACAAATAGTAAAACGTTGCTGAGATTTATAATAGTCAGGAAGTGGTGGAGAGCCATTGTTGCCAACAATTTGGACTTAAAACCGGCGCTGAAGAATTATCTATCGAACAAAAAAAATTCATCGAAATCGGATGAAAACTGTGGAAATCCATAAACATCTGTTCACACACATACATACATTTTGAGAATCATAGATATAGATAAGTGTTTTTTTTTATGTTTATAATTTTCAGTAAAACAATATGTCTGAAAAGGAAATTATTTTCGCGTGAGAAATCATGTTTTTTATCTGTGTGAACATTATCTTTTATAATTAAGGAGACATTATTTTTTTTACTGTAGGTTTTTGTTATATATTGAAATGATAAAATCATGTAACCAATTAAATACAGTATATTTTATAGACAATCAGTAACCAAATCATCGATATCGTGCTATTATAAATTAAAACAGTGCGTGCTGGCCAGTTTTCATTTGTTTTTTTTGTTTTTTGTTTGTTTTTTTTTGTTTTGTTTTTTTTTGGTATGTTTAAAATATAAACGCGTTTTATCGATCGCATTTTGTCTTCGACACTGACATATTATTTCCTCAGCAGAATGAAGGAAAACGCATTGTCTAATGAGCTTTTTTTATCTTTATATTTTTATCCGTACAAATTTGTGCATGCCTTTGTGTTATTAAATCAAACGAATATGGAATGAGTGTTTTAAGCCTTTACTATCAATAAAATCTGTTTCGCCATCGGTGTACACTTGTTAAAATGGATTAAAACCGTCAGGTCATTTTAGTCAAGTGACGATAAAATCTATTCCACAGCCATAGCATGTGAACTCACATTCATTTGAAACTCCGGACCGTCAAAAGCCTAAAAAATTTACTCGTTATCTCTCATCTTCTAACTTTTTTCTTTGAAAATAATTAACAATAGTAGAAAGTATTTGAAACATTACACATAATTCCGGCAAGTTTCTTTACAAGTTTCCGCTTGATATGATAGAGCGTGAATAACCTAATAAATAAAAGGAATTAAATTATATATATCTGTACCCAGGCTGACGCGTGATTTTTAAAAATACGTTAAATGAACAATAAATCTCGGGTAAAAAACAGGTATCCATTTTGAAATATCGCTAAGCGTGAAACAGCGCTGTAAATGGGTAGATGAAGCAAAAATATTAGCGTTCATGTTTTTAAAAGCTCTTTATAATTCAAAATAGAGCAGGCTTATATACGTAAGAAAAGAAACATACAGATATTATTATTGATAGATAGAAAGAAAAAGAAAAGGCCTGTATAAACTGATAGATATATAGATAAAAAGAAAAAAAGAAATGCCTGTATAGATAGATAGAAATATAGATAGAAAAAAGACCTGTACAGATATATAAATAAAAAAAGACATGTATAGATAGATAAAAAAATAGAAAATACCTGTATAGAGATAGAATAGATAGATAGATAGATATGAACAGATTGAGAATAGATAGATATATATATAAACAGACAAAAAAAGATAAAGATATAAACCTACAGTATAGCTCTTTTTTATTTAGGGATCTTGAAATGTTGATCAGTAAAAAATCTATAATGATTAATTTAGTCTGTTCACATCCTGAACGTCTTTATGAGAAAAAATAAAAGCAACTAAGATGTCAATTACAAAACTAAACTCTCTTGTTATTGATGTCATTAAAAATACTTGACTGATACTATGAGAATTTGAGTTTGGCGTCAGAACTATTCAAATGAAGACGGTCTACGATTCATTTTTATCTTTGCTATACTGTCTTCTGTTGTCGCCAATTACTGATACTGATCTCCAAAGCTCTTGTAGCATAGACAAAGACTAGGTGACCTTGCTCGTGATTGATTATTTTGAGACAGTCCAATATTTTAGCCATGTCCACTTTTCTATTTTAGCCACGCTCAAGACAGGCAATTACCGACGGCAGATTCCATGATATATTCTCTGTCTTTGTTTCAGGTTCGACAAAGCTTATTTATTGTCCTGTTCACTTGTTTATGACGTACGAAGGTAGGCACTTGAGATGCAGCTAACTTTTAGATTGGTGACCGTGCCAAACAACACTCGCTTCATGTGATCACATTACCTTAGCCTGACAGCGTTCAGTTGTCTATATTCTCTCTTTTAAATGTTACTGAAGAGACGCTCAGGGGGTTGTTTCAACTGCATTGCGCACCTAATCGGGAGGAAATACAAAGACCGGCCGCAACGTCGTTGTTTTTATAACAAAACATGGTTTTCTGCCTGAATTTCTTTTATGAGGCGTTATCATTATTTACAGTCGGACGAATTCTCTCATCATTATTGTTATTATCACAACGTTTCGATTATGCTCTCCGGCGTTCATCAGTTGATTGTCGGACCAGAAATTTCGAAGAGAAACCTTAATTAATCTTGCTAAGGAGATTGTTCTTATTCTACTGTACATGTCAAGAAATTTTTTTTTTTCAAATTTTGCTTAGAGACTTTAAGCAACAGAAATATTGTTCTACATAAGGATCCTGAGGATACTATCGATCGTAAATGTTAGCAACGACGAGATTTTAGAGAAAACAAAAACAAAAAGGAAATGTATACTTGACATCAGGAAGAGACAGTTGAAATTTCTGGGCAAAGAATAAGAATATTCAGACCGGCAGACGAAAATAAGTAAATATAATGTCTAATAAATAAACGTAGTGTCTACTCAAACCCGAGAAGCCACTAAAAATAAGGTTTATATATATATATAAGTGTACTCGTGCCGTCAAATCTGATGGCAAGAAGGAATGTATAAGTAATATGTATTATATTGTAATTTACTTTCGTTTAATCCAAATACAATTTTGTAATTTAAAATTGTTCTTTGTTAACGTTAATAATTGAAAAATGTACAAATTATAATCGCCTACGGAAAGACAACTGTATTTTATCCTCATAAATGTTTACAACCAAAATTATGTTTTCTGTAAAAGTTCCCAAAGCACAATATTTTTTGTATAAACTTTGATAGTCCGTAGATTCAATCTTTAATTTCGGATTCTGCATATTTGTCGTCCTAAATATCATCAGATTTATTTTAAAAACATTTTCTCATGATATTACCAAATTCCACAAGATATGCTCCGATTTGTAACATACAATAATTAACAACAAATAAATATATATACAGACTCTGTTTAATCTAAACCACCTTTTTGCTAAGAAAATTTCAACGTATGATTTGTATTTGCGAAGATATTTTAATATTAAAAATACGTAATAATACTATTAGAATCCATTTTTAGACATCTATCAATATCTAACATTTCGAATTTCTCAGAATTAAAAAGTAAAAGAAAATGGGAATAATCATTATTCCTGTTCGTTTTCACTTTTTAATTCTCATGATGATTTCGAAACGATATATGTATTTTTTTAAATTTTCTATTCTCTTGAATTTATTTCCGTATTGTTTTTGTGTGTGTGTGTGTGTGTGTGTGTGTGTGTATGTGTGTGTATTTTAACTTTTTATTATTCATTCATTATTGCAGATTTTAAAAACGAAACTTAATATCTATTCTTCTTTTTTACTTAAAAAAAGACAAATGTCAAACAAAATATCTTGAATTCGTCCAGTCCGCGTCGACACAAGGGTCACCGTCCCACCCAAAACTATGATACGAAAAATAATTTATTTGTTATGGAAAATAATTTTTATATTCAATCTTTAAAAAATAAACTTCATTATTTTTTTTAATTGTTACTAACATGAAAAATTAAATAATTTTAAGTTTTGTTAAAGCAAAAACTTCAGCAATCCTTATTTTTTTCAAAAATTAATTTAAATAAAATATATTTAATTCATAAAACAAATATTCAATACAACTAATGTTGTTCGTAAGTCACCATTGTCTCTCATAATTTTTATTTAACTAAAATTCTTCTTTTTTTTTTCCAAAAACAAAAGAAAGACCAAAAGGCAAACATCTACCTACGCAATAAAGTAAAATGCTAAACAGACCAAAAACTGATTCACAGCGTCGCTACTTAACAAAGGACAGCTCGTGATCTTCAGAAGACTAGAACGCCCTATACATACATGTACATGTATATATATATATATATATATATATATATATATATATATATATATATATATATATATATGGAGAATCGTTTGTGACCTTAGGTTTCACGCTTTCGTGATCATCAGACAAACTGGTTTATTTTTTTTAAAAGTGGATGTATTTATGCTTTATTTGTGTATGATTATTTAATTTGTGGTGGTGGGAGGGGGAAAATTGTCTTCTGTGTTTTTGGGGATGACACTCACATATACATCGACACGTATACATACAGGCGTATGCATGTTAGTTCATATGAGTAAGTATGAACATGTATACGCCTGTATATAATGTATGTCTATGTATATGTGAGTGTCATCACAAACAAACACAGATTTCCCCCTCCTACCACCACACACAAATAATCAAACACAAATAAAACATAAATAGATCCACTTAAAAAAAAATAAACCGGTTCGTCTGAAGAACGTGAATATATGAAACCCAAGTTCACAAACAACTCTCCATACAACTGCATATATTAGATCTATCACAGATTTTGAGCACTTTCCACTAATACCGCACACACACACACACACGTGTAAGGTAGGTTAGTACCACATAGAGAGTGATGAGTAAATTATCTCCATTTTTCTATTTTCTTTTTATTTCTTGCATGCGAGTTTGTTTTTATTTTGCTTTTGATTTTGTTTTCATTCGCGCCAGAAACTCCGATGCGAACATTTCAGAGTGTTTGGGTGTCAATCTGAAGACAGTCCAGAGAATTCGGTAAGAGTTGGATGAATCTAATGGTCATTACGAAGGTACGGGCGCTCGAAAAACTCACTCTTAGCGTTCTGATAAGAAAAAAATCCCGAATTTGTTGGTGAGGGCCTCAGACTCAACACGGAGGTCTACACCAAGTGTCTTGAGGAGGTAGTGTTACCCTGAGTCAAGGGGTTGGCTGCTCAATGACGCTATATTTGGCAACAGGTCACACAAGCAGGAGAACCCAGTCATTGCTGTCAAACAATTTCTGCAACCACATCATCCCTTATATCTGGCCACCTAACCACCCAGACTGCAATACCCTTGATTGTTATATATGGGATGCAGTTGAGCAAGAAACCGACAACATTTCTTGTAACACCCAAGACGAACTGAAAGCAAGGATTATGGTAGCATTCACCAAAATGAACAAGGAGACCGTCCAGAAGAGTTGCAGGAGATTCCAAAGTTGTTGTTCTACCAGAATCACAATGATTTAACTGTCTTTTAAGCGGATACTAGACTCGCGTCGAGATCTCATCAATTGACAGTTGAGCTGGCTAAATGTAACCGTAAATTCTATGCTAAGTTTCTTTTCTCGCATTTCTTACTTGTGGAACTCCCTTCCAACTCCATGCTTTCCAGCCAACTTTAATATGTAAAAATTTAAATGCAATGTCAATCGCTATCTACTTCCCCACTGATTAGTCTTTTGTCTTCCCGTTCATTATTAATGTTTCTGTTCCTAATTCTTCCCAACCCAGTACCCCCTTGCGTTTCAGTGGCTTTACTGCCTTGCATGGGGTGAAAGCGATTAAGAAATACATGTTTGTCATTGGTTAAGAGATAATCATGCGCATGGTGGAGTAATGGACAGCGGCTTGGATTGAGAAATTGGAGAGCCGGGTTCGAATTCCAGTCGGATGCATTACATTCACTTACGTAGGAAAAGTATGAATCCTCTTCTCACCCCAGCTATAAATAAATAGCAGGACTGTCCGGGTTCTCTAGCCTTGGATGCCAACTGGTCTACCGCAGAACGAAATGGCAACCTACTGCGGGAAAAAATCTGCCTTGTCAATCATGTATCGAAATATAAATGATCGTATGGCACATTCTTAATTTTAAATATTATCTTTGAAGTTTAAATTGAAAATAAAATAATATTTATTAAAAGAAGAAAAGTTACTCTTGTATATATATATATATATATATATAATTAAAACAGTTTTAATTAATTTAACTATTTTGAGAAAAGGCCTAATTAAGCCGAATGTCAAACTATACTGACGACACGTCAAGAGCTATCGAAGTTAGTTTAATTAAAATTCTACGAAAGTTAAAATAATGTACCAAATTAAGTTCGATGATAATTAGTTTGATTATTTTACCGGTTATTGGTAAAATATAAATTTAACTTTTACTTAAACTATATTAAAAAAAAAAAATACCTTTTGTTTACAGCTAACGTCTATGCCTGCAAACATAGGCCTACTGTCCATAATAACAAAATTATATAAATATATATATATATATATATATATATATATATAT